CTCTGGCATTGAAAACTTAAGTTCTTTGAATAAATACAATTTCAACAAGCTCGCAACTGTTAGCCAGGCACGTTCACTCTAACACACACGCACACTAACAGCTGACAGTGTGCGCCCCTTCTTCTGTTGCGTATCAAGGCCTACCACTATTTGTTGACTATGTGGCAACCCTGTTCATCATTGCCAACCAAACGAAGGCATTTTAGAGAGCATTTCCGTTTCCGTTTTCTTGTCTAGCTGGTCTTAATGATTTTAATCGTATATGAAAACTTGTTTCGGGCATTCATTGAGCACATTTTCTGATTATGAAGATCTGCGTTGCCAATTCTCATATTGTCTATAAGATTTTTTTGATATATCTATCCCGCTTTCTGCTTCTTCTTCTCCATTTCATCTACCTCAAATATGTCCCATTTACTTAATTTAAAAATCATTATCTGCTTTTCTCAGATCTTCTTTTTCAGGAAATGTAAATTTGTATGAGATTTTTAATCATATTCATATTTATTATATTTACTCATTCTGTCTTAAGACTGTTCAATTTTTGGCTCTTCTCAACGTCCATTAAGTTGTTCAACGAGCACAAAAAAATAAATAATTTTATTGGTTGTTTTTGTTGTCGTGTGCGTCACGCTGTACGCGTGACAAAAATAAATCACAAACTTAAAAATACGTAACGCACAAATTTTATACTAAATTAAGAGTATACAAGCAGAGGAAAGAGTTCTCTAGTTGGAAGTGCATGGCTAGACATTATCTAAGACGATTTATAATTTTGGGTGCCAAGAAAATTAATGATAACAAGGCGTGGTCATAAAAGAGCTATTAAAAATTGCATACAACAATTGCTTAAACATACAAAGAGAGAATACGCTATGCCCTAACATATTCATTTGGAGTGCAAACAATATATTTTGGTATAAAAGCATATATATAATAAAAATATATATATTATTTGAATAATCTCCAGCAAGCTTCAGCTCCACATTAACCCAATTTTATATTTAGCATTTCTGCATCCCACTCAACTAGCGGACTACCCCTAATGTAGTAGGGCATATTGGCAACAAGAGGAAGAAAGATGCATAAATGCCGCACAATTTCAAATGCCACACAAAATACGCAAATGCAACAAGTGCAAAATTTGCCTTACACTCTCTTACCCTTCAACTGCCCCGCCCCCCTCCCCTCTCCGTCCATCCTGCCCCTTGGATGTTTTGCCAAATGTTTTGGCGACACTTGACAAGATGCCAGAAATTCTAAACACTTTTAGCCGTTTCGTCGGTGCCCTTTTGCTGTTAGCTGCTTTGAATACTTGCTCACTGCTCGAGCATTCTTTTGTCTCGCTCTCGCCTGTCTATCTCTGTCGCTCTGGCCTGGGCTGCCTGACCAATCATGGCAAATTAATTATGTATGCTGTGCAGTGTCTCTGCACTTTTACGCACACTTTTATTTACGCCGCCGTGGCTTTCTAATTAATGAGCATATTAATTTGTGAAGTTTTCAGGCGCTGACAACTTGTGTAGGGTGGACACCCTACAATGCCCTACTCCGGCAGTTCCATGGCGACGTGGCAACTCATGGTGCGGTATCTTCAGATCTGCGATTGAGTTAAATGCATGCTTTCATGCTCGTGCAATTTGCTGCATCTGTAGCTGTGTCTGTATCTGTGTCTGTGTCTGTGTCTGTGCATCTGTTAGATACTTTTGCTGCTGGTCACATTAACACAGTTTTCAATTCAATTACGGCATTCTACGGGCTATACAAAGCGCTTTTCTATGCTGCCGAGACATGGCCTCATCAAGTGCGCCTCAATTGATTTTCGCACATTTGTTGCTCGTTTAGCAGCTGACGTGATCGCCTCTTTAGATACATGCGCTCACTTGTGTATCCAACAGATACATTTACAAACCTAAATAGTCGCAGTTCGTTAGGGCTATGCCCGAGTTGCTAATTGTGAGCAGCGTTTCGTTTAACTCGCCGTTAAATGTGTTAAATATTGTGAAATTCGGTGAATAACAGAAAAACCGTGTCTGAGCTAACAAAAAGTATTGTTTGAAACACTTGAGCTGCAAACACAGTGAAGCCTCTGCTCAGCAACAATTTCTTATACAGGGCTTGGCCGTCTTGTGTGGAGCCTATTTAAAGCGCCGTAAATTTGTTTTGGAAAATGATTTTCATTTATTGAAGAGCATATCACAAGTTGTCCAACCTTCTCATGGGCAATGGCTGTCTTTAGCATCTTCAATGCCTGCATAACTTTTTTTTATATGTGGCACATTCCTCCTTTAGCTACATCTTTATGCACTTAAAATTGCCAGCACTGTGAACTGAGGTTAGATTGGGCGCCAAAGTCGTTTTACTGGCGCTGCAAGCTTTGAATTACAAGCCGTTACTTTACAAGACGCCGCCATTAGCAATACTAAAACAAGACTCACTGTGCAGCGCTTGTGCTAAAGCGAGAGAGACGTCCGTCAATCATCTTGTTTGAACTCTAAAACAAACCACAGCAACAACAACATGAAAACGCTGAGTCAGCCGGCAGCGAGAAGTGCGCGAAACAAACATAAACAAACAAGACAAAACGCAAGCAAAGAGCGTAACTAATTGACTTTGACTAAGCCACAAGTGGCGAAGAGAGCGCGCTCGCCAGCAACAGCTGTGCGCGAAGAGAGAGCGCGCGAGCGAGATAGAGATAGAGGGCGAGAGAGCGGGTGGGCTAGCCGTCAGAGAGCGCAAGCCGGCATAAGCATTGCCAGGCGCCAGGCAGCAAATGAAATTCAAAGTGCAGCGCAATTGACGATCGGCCCAAAGCCAAAAGCCCCCAGCCGCTGCTGCTGCCGCTGCTTTTGCCGCTGCTTTTGCTGTTGCTTTTGCTTTTGCTGTTGCTGTTGCTGTTACACACAGTTGGTTGTTCAGTGTAGACGCAGTCAGTCAGACGGATGGTCGGACGGGTCGGTTGGTCGCATCGATAGCTCCTCACGCGCGCAATTTGTCAAACGTGAGCGTGTATTCCAATAGAATATTTTGTCGCCGCAGTTTGCCGCAGTTCGCCGCAGCCGTCAGTCGATCGATCGCGCACGCTTTTCAATTTGCTGCCCGCAAAGTAAACAATAAAGGAAATTCTTTAAATTAAATAACTGTGCACGCTCAATTGAAGTGAATTGAAACTAAATTTGAAAAGTAATCAAAATCAATTTTATTGGAAATGTCGCGCACTTAACTTTAATTAATCAACAATTATTTTGAAATTGCTCGAAAGTTCAAAAGAAATCTATTTACAAATATCAAGTGTTTACAGCAACAGCACATTGAGTACTATATATGTACATGCATATAAATACATATACATTTAGTTTTATGCTCACTTAAATTCTGTGCACATCTTTTTTGGCTTTTGCCAATTGCCAAAATGTAAACAACGCTCATAAATGCCAACAACACAATATGCAAATTGCCAATACGTATTGACCGAATGCTTTTGAGACAGAGCAAAACAAAAAAACCAAAAAAAAATTAAAGACAAAAAAAAAACACTTTAAAATTAAATAAAAAATTTAATAAATCTGAACAAATGCAGCAGCAGCATCCGCCGCTGCTTGACTCACTCGCTCGAGCCGGCTTCTCAATATCTCGGCTCCTACAGCTGGTTAATTATTATTGTGCCCCCGCCCACCCGCTCGCTGGCTTTGTGGATCGCAACGATCGCAACCAGTTTTTCATTTCAATTTCAATTTCCATTCAATTTCGCTTTTGCTTATATACTTCATATATACAATGTACATATATTTTATAGACATGTATGTATATTAGCCAGCAATTGAGCCGTTATTAACTCAGCTGTTTTCTGTTTTTGTCTTTTTGTTTTGATTCAAGTGAACTGCGCACATTCGCAGTTATTTTATCTCAAGCTGTTGC